CCTCCTCCTCCTCTTCCTCCTCCTCCTCCTCCTCCTCCTCCTCCTCGTCGTCGTCTTCACCCTCATCATCGCTGCAGAGGGGACTTGGCTAAAGGCGACCCTCCCTGCCAGCGGCCCCCCTGGCCCCGGGAACCCCCAGGCCCCAGACAGGCAGGAGGGGGCCTGCAGAGGGAGGCTTCCGGGCCCGGCACCCACGGCCGCCAGGGAGACGGTCACTCGTCTCTCATCACCCGGGGAAGCCCAAGCCATGGACAAGGAAGCAGCAGATCTCACCTCTGCCTCAAAGGACCCCCAGTCCCACTGGGGGAGAAAAGGGAGAAAGGAAAAAAAACTGCCGCCGCTAGCAGCGCTGGGCCTCGCACCACCTCCCCGCCAGGGGCAGGCAGCCCTGGCACCTCGCTCCCCCCCGTGGGGGCTCCACACCTCCAGAAGCCCCAAACTCTCGCATCAACCTCTCCCTTTGTTGAGTCAGTCTTCTGAGACAGATTCGGACGACGATCCTGAGCCCGCCCCACTGCTATCCTGGCCGCACTGCTTCTCCACCACATCACATCCACCAGCCTCAGGCCAAAGGTCATCCCTTCAGAGGCCCCCCAGCTCACCTGCTCTACAGGGTGCCATTCTCAGCCCCTTATTTTGCTGCATGTGGGATAACCTGTTCTTGACCCCTGCCCCACTAAAATGAAATCCTACAAGTCAGGAACCTTCCGTCATTCTCACATCCTTAACTCCTAGCCCTGCGCCTGGCACATAACAGGGCTCAAATGTTTCTTTTAATGAAGCAAATAAGCTCCTGCCCCGGAGTTCCCTACCTGAGGGACGCCAGCACCTTGGCCATGCCGAAGCTGTCCAGCACCTCCTGGAGCTGCTCACAACCTCCTTCTCCCAGGGTGTTGCCTGCTCGGGGAGAGGGAAGTCAGGCCCGGCACCAGGACCAAGCTGGTGGGCATGGGATGATGCCACCCCCATTACCATTGAGGTCCAGTTTCTCCAGCTTGGCCTTATCTGCCACGGCCTCAGCAATGGCCAGAGCAGCATCTCTCTTGATTTCACAGAATGACAAGTTCAGCTCCTGAAAATAAGAGGAAGGGGTAGAAAAAGGCAGAGACGTGCGCCAGGAGACCAGCTCCAAGTTTCAAGCCTCCATTTCCCCAAGGGAGTGAGGCAGACTCTGTCCCCTGCCACCTGAATGGCACTATGAGGACAGTGCCATTTACCTGACGATGTGCCAGGTACTCGACTCCTCACATTACCGCTATGCTGTGACCTAGGTCATTCCCTCCGCCCATTTTAAAAATGAACTGCAGCTCAGAGAGGTGAAGAGGGTGTGAAAGGACAAGGCCAGGAACCCAGGCCCACCTGCTCTTATAAGACCAGACCCCTGCCATGCCCCCGCACATGCCCCCTCCCCCCGCCCCCCACCATGGGGTAACCCGGGTGCACGGGAAGCCTAGACCCGGGCGGGGCACCTTCAGCTTAGGCAGGCCCCCGCGGACGGCATCTGCGATGGCAATGGCACCCTTGGAGCGCACCAGGCAGTCCCCAAAGTTGATCACTTCCACCTGCCGCAAGGTCTTCAGTGTCTGCAAGGAGGCAGTGAGGGCCAGGTGAGGGTGGGCCCCACCAGCCCTCCCAGAGCCAACCTCTGTCAGCCACCGCACCCCGTCGTCTGCTGTGTCTCGTCTGGCCATCTCGGCACCTCCCTGTCGGCCTCCAGCTTCTGGCTGAACCTCCTCCACCTTATTCCCTCGCGACACCCAGAAGCCCCTTCCTAAAGCGCAAGTCTGATCACATCACACCCACTGAAGGGCGGACAAGGCCCCCTTTGACTTGCAGCAGGTCCCACGGAACTGGCAGGGCCTCAAGGTCTCGCCTCCCTTTTGCTCTCTCCATCTCCCCCAGCCCTCCAACACACCTGGAACCCTGGTCATTTCAAACCAGGACCGTTGGAGCAGGGCTCCTTCCCCTCTCTGGGCCTCCCCATGTGCTGCTGGTCCCTCTGCCTGAAACAGGCCTCCCACTCTTTTTCCAGAGAAAGTCTACTTGCCCTGTGTAGCCTGGCCAGATGCGACGTGACCTCTTCCAGGAAGCCTACATGAAGTCTGATCTGAACTCCCTGTGTGCTCGCCTGCACACATCTCTGCTAATAGCCTACAGCAGCGGGACTAGCCTTTTGTTGGGTTGTGGGGCCTGTCAGGTTGATGGAGGCTGAGGGACCCTCCCACCCAGAGGCCCTCAACACCTAGCCAGCCCCAGTGTTCACGGCCCGGCACTGTCACTGGGTAGCCACTCCCTTCCCTCCCTGAACTGGGGGCTCCTTGGTGGCAGAGTCACTGACTTAACTTTACGAGGCCTGCACTTGGTGCAGGGCTGGGCTCAGCACACAGCTGATGAAGGATCCAGTGAGGAAAACAGTCCAGCCGGAGCAGCCTTCTGCGCAGCTCAGGGAGAGCGCAGTGCAGACACCCAGGCACGCACAAGCTAGCCTGGGACATACACCCTCTTCTGGGCATGTTCCTAGGGGCTAGACCCACGGGGTTCACACCAGGTGGGTGGGCAAAGGGGCAGAGCTGCCACCTCCCAATAGCATCACTCGAAAAGTAGTCCCTGCCTCCTGGAGTCTGCTCTGGTCCTGCACAGCCGCCTCACCTTGGCCATAGCCACAGCGCCCTTCTCAGTGAAAGTGTTGTCATTCAGGTTGATGACTCGCAGCAGGGGGTTGATGGCAAAGGCCTGGGCCAGGGCAGTGACACCGGGGTGATTGATTCCATTCTGTGGCATGTGGACCTCCTCCAGAGTCCCGATGATCTGCAGGGGGCAGGATGGGGGGCAGGGAGATGTGGGCCCAAGCTCCAGGGGCAGGCGCAGTTGGCAGGGATGCCCTGGGCACTGATCACAAAGCATGATTTGGGCATGGCTGTGTCTGATCCTCTCTGCCACCTCAGGAAGGAGACCTACCGGGATTATAAGCTCTACCTGACAGAAAAGACTGGGATCAGAGAAACTAAGTAACTTGCCCAGGATCACAAAGCTGTGAACATGGGTTTCTCATCTAGGGTTCCTGACACTGTGGGCACTCCTGGGCTCTGGCCGGGTAGTCAGCCTTGGTCCTCCTCTGCATAATGCAGATTCACTAGGTCTTTCCCGGGTCCCCCCTTTATACAACCTTTTTTGGAGGTTGGGACTTCCCTAACCACCTAGCCCTTGGCATCCTGGCCTTCTGACACATTCCCTCTGCCGGCAACACCATCTCATTTGTTAGCATTTTCTTGATAGGCTGCCTCCCGTACACTCTGCAGCTCTCATTCTGGATCCTCCTCCCACTGGGACAGCTTTCCAGACCCCTGCAGGCACGTTTCACTGCTCCCCCTGTGTGCCCAGAGCACCCTGCCACTCCTCCACCGCACCAGCCGCCTGGCACTCAGCACCACAGGAGAGGCGGACGCCCCAACATCCACTGCTACCCAGGGCTGCGGACAGGCCTGGCCTAACTCTGCTCCTCGGCACCGTTCCTTGTTCCGGGGTGCCCGGCACAGCCCGGGGGTCCACGAGTAAATGCAGGCAGGCCACGTGAGGCACGTTACCAGCCAGGGCTTCTTAATATTTTCTGTGCCTCAGATCCTTCAGGCAGGCATAAAGCCCTGGCTCTCTCCTTAGAACAAAGTTTTTCAGTTTTAAGATAAATTACATGGGACTACAAAGGAAATCAGTATGACTGGAAGACAGTTAGCAAGACATTTAGAAAAACCTCGAATGTGTGCTGTAGTAAGACATGTACTTCCATGAAGGCACTGACAGACCTACGGCCACATCTGCTTTCACTGTGACCATGACGGGTGAGGACATTAATATTACCACACATCTCTAACAGCTAATTTGATATGAAAATACCTGATTTCTATTGGTAACAACATCACAGGAATTTCTAAGTCTGCTGAGATTTACTGTCCACACTCACAACTGAAAGCACTATTATCACTAACACGACTAAAACAGTCCCGCGGTTTCCCCAGCTGTGCTCACAGACTTCCCGAGTTCTAGCCACAGACTGGTGGGATCCCACGGGCCCCAAGTTAAGGAGTCCATCCTAAGAAGACTGGAGGACATGTGACAAAGGCCCGGCACGACCACCACGCAGCCGCCTTCCCAGAGCACCGAGAGCAGTGGCCGCGAGAAGGGGCCTCGGGAAGGTGTGACCTCTAACATCTCGACGTCTGGAGGGACAGCAGCGAGGCCCCTCCAGCTCCCCACAGCCAGGACTCACTGAGACACGGGCACGTCTCCCCTGTAATGTCCACTCTCTGCCTGAGGCAGCTGAGCTTCAGCAGGGGGACCGCCTTACGGGGCAGGGCTGTGGGGATGCTGCTCTGCCCCGAGGACAGTAAGTGCTGCTAAAATATTGTCTGGGGAAGAAAATACTTAAATTAAGAGAAGAGAGAGACAGACCCCAGAGTTCCCAAGGCCACAGGGCAAGCGTGGCCCTCTCACGGAGCACAGCACCAGGGACTCAGCAGTGACCTGGGGGCGGGAGAGAAGGCAGGGGACACGGACAGCCGGACGTGCTTCACCACTGCACATGCCACTATTCCTGCCTCCTCCCTATGTCAACGGCAAGTCTGGTCGGCTCCATCGCCATCACCACCCCCTAGAGGCCAGAGCACTGCCACTCAGGGAGCCCAGGCCAACACTGGGCCAGGCTGTGGCCAGCTCTCACACTGCCCTGGCACCACCAGTCCCACTGTGGAGCCTGGTAGATACCACTCTGATCAGAGCGACCTCGCCACGTCCTCAGCGCTCCAGGGGGCCAGGGCCGACTCACCTGCAGTGGGGGGTTCATGCAGCTCTCCACATGCTTAGGACGGGAACTCTGCCCCACCGCAGGACGAGCCAGCCCACAGGGCGATGCACACCCATGCTGGCTGGGCAAGGCTAGCCCGCCCCAGGGCACGATGGGGCGGGATGGGTGGCAACTACTCACCCCAAACGCTTCTGCCAAGGCAGTGGCTCCGTCGTTTTCCAGACGGTTTCTGCCAGCCACGAAGGCCTTCAGGGCCAGTGGCTTGCCTTGGGCACTGGACTTTCGGTGACACTCAGTCAGAGCTGCCGCCAGGATCTGTGGGAGAAAAGGCAAGGGGCCCAGCCCTGAGGCAGGAAGCCCTGGTCTTCAACATCCCACACCACCCGCTGTGGGTAGATATGGGAACAAAGAGCTGCTCAGAAGCATGGCAACTGTCCTCACAGTGTCCGTACCCTACAATTTACAAAGGGCTTTCACATCCACCACTTCATTTGTGAGCCCAGCCACCCTGCGGGGTTTAGCCTCATGTTAGAGATGGGGAGACAGAGGCCCAGAGGGAAGGGACACCCCAACTCTGAGTGGTCAACTTGAAGGCACGTCCTGGGGCAGGGGCTTCACAGCCCACTTTACTGTCATAAGTGGGTACCTGTCAGGTGGGGGCGATCATGACCCCCACCTTGAACTGAAGAAATGCAGGCTCAGAGGGACACACACTTTCCCACAGGCATCAGACAAGGGGCAGCCTCGGGATCAGAACCCAAATCTTCCAGCGTCTTTTCCACGCACCGCAGTGCCTAAAGAGTGTGGCCCCACTGCACCCATCTGACACACACCTGCGCCCAGGCCGGCCACACACGGCAGGGTCTCAGCGGCTGGGGATGAAACTTAAAGCCTAGTCTGTCCTGTCCCCGGCGTGATGTCAGGAGCTAGTTTCTATCCCAGTGACACCAACAGAGCACAAGTTCAAAAAACAAGGCTGATTGGTGGGAATCAGAGACCACGGTAAATAAGACACAAAGATTCACAAAGAGAGCAGCGGGAGAGAAGTGCCACTTCCTGAGCACCTAGTAGGTCTGAGCACTCTCAGTAAGGGTCACATCTCATTTCAACCTCAGAAAGAGCCTGAAGGCAGGTGGCACTGGCCCTACTCTACAAACAAGGAAGCCGAGGCTCAGAGAGGCAGTGAATGGGCCAAAGCCCCACATACGCAGCAGAGTCACGGCTGGCAGCCAGGTCAGTCCAACTGCCCAGCTCTCTGTCCTTCGGGGACAAAAGCGCCACCACCAGCCTGGCCCCTAGGTGGTGGTGGTGGGTTGTGCACATGCTCAGTGCGGAGACTAGAAACTTCTGCTGTATCGTCCTGAGACGTGACAACCAAACGTGCCAGCACGCCCATTCTCCCCAGCTTCCCGCTGGGACCACTACAGTGAGCTCCAACCACACGCCTCACCGCACTCCCATCGGAGCCTCTGGACCCTCCTATTCCTGTGGTGTGATATGACACACGGGCCACACTGAATACATTCTGGCTGGAGGGAACCAACTCGGGAGACCTCAGTTAAACACCTGGACCCTGGTGCCTGCAGCCCCCAGGAAGCACACACCCAAGAGGCCAGCCCCCATGACATGAGGTAAAAAGGTCTCGTGCAGTTAGTGGTGTGTGACAACTATGAGTCAAACTCCTGGGTGGAGCTGCTCAGCCAGGGAGGCCCTGGACCCCAGGGTTCACAACTCTCTTCGTCTCCGAGTCATCCCTGCCACTCCAAGAAAGGGTGAGGCCAGGCACCAGCGGCCAGCCGGGGAGGCTCTCAGAGGCTCCGGGCCCAGGAGGCCTGAGCCCACAGCTGGCACACTGGCACTCACAGAGCAGTCTCGGGCTCTCCCGCCCTCCCCAGCCCAGCTCGGCTGCCCTGTCTTCTGGGCTGATGCACACATTTTCATGTTGTAGTGCACACATAGCTCAGTGACCAGGCAGATGGGGGCAGGGCTGGCTGAGACGGGCACGGGCACACGGCCCTGCTCTCCCTGCATGGGGCACTGTGACTCTGCTTCTGACACAGCCACGTGGATGCGAGCTCAAACTCAGTCCCACAGTGGCTATGTCATCTGGGGAGCTCAACTCAAGATCTCTAAGCCCAAGTCTAGTTGGGATGGCATCACCCACCTCTCAGTGTAGGTAGGAGAATGAGGGTAATGCCTACCACGTCTCCAAAGAGAAGATGCCCCCAGTTACTATCAGTTCTTGTGCCCCAACCTTTCTCTCCTTTTGGTCAGAAAGTGAGGTGGGGAAGGGAAGACAGAAACACAGACTGCACTCAGCCTTTCTGGAATCTGGGCCTCGGAGCCAGAATGGACCAAGAAGGGAACAGGGCTGGCATTCCTTCATGCAGGGCCTGAGAAGAAAACAGGCACCTTTCTACACTGACCGGTCCTTGAGGGTGGGATGGGGAGGCTCCCTGGGCAATGCCCTGTCCAGGAACAAAGGTGACAAAGTTGAGCTGTGCCTGGGCCTCCCCAAGTGGTTTCTCTTTGGGGCCCCTTGCTCAGGTACACATGCCAGGACGCATGTGGCTCTGCCAGTTGTTCTGAGGGCAGCAGTTCTACAGATGCCCCAGGCCTGCGTTTTGCAGAACCAGCGGGTCAGAGCTAGTATGCAATACTGCCGCTGTGTTGCCAAGGCAACACTAGACCAGGGATGGTTGCTCGGCAACCCCACCTTCGTGGACTCCCACCTCCTCTCCTACTGGCCACAGGCTGCTGCCTGTGAAGCCTTTCTCCATAAAGAGAAAAACAACAGGCCAACCATCCCAGCCGATGAACGGCCAAGACACTTACTTCACATGGATGCAAACACATCAGGGGACCGGGGCAGAGGGGTAGGATTAAGGACAGCGGGGACACGAGGAGGTGGCCACTGCACCCACCTTACCGCCACCAATGCCCATGCCACAGTTGTTGAGCTTGAGTTCATGCAGGGTGAAGCAGGCCGAGCTCTTGAGCAGGGCCTCGAAGCCTCGCACACCGTCGGGCCCGAATGCGTTGTCGCTGAGGTCCAGCTCCACCAGCTGGGCCCCGGCTGTGATGAGTCCCTCTCCTAGCGAGATCTGGGCACAGAGGAAGCTCAGGTCAGTTCACAGACACCTACCAGGTGCTGCTTCTGTGCCAGGCCCTCCCTGCCCTGAGGGGCACCCAGGCCTGTGGGGAACTGGCAGACACAGACCATTTCAGTACAGAGTTGTCCGTATTATACACTCAGGACTGGAAACCCTGCATAGGGCTTCTAAGGTGGCTGGGAGATGGGGTGGTCAGGGAAGGCTTCCTACAGGAGGTGGCATCTGCACTCAGGCTGGATCGGAACAGCCAACCTATCATGAGGAGGTTCCAGGCAGCGGTAAGAACAGAAGAGTGACAGAGCAGCATGCCGTGTGCCTAGGGGCAAGCAACTGCTAGACAGCAGAAGGGCTGAGGCTGGAAGGGACGGCAGGAGTCAAGTCAGGGGAGAAGCAGGCCAAGAACTGTGAAACCTGAGCCCAAGAACCACGGTGCTGAGGTGGGTGAGGGATATGGAGGACGTCCCCCAAACCTGAGGAGGGCAGAGGAAAGCTGGAGGCCAAATGCCCACCCAGGAGTGTGAAACAGGAGCCCAGGCAGCAGAGGCGGTGTGGCTGGCTGGTGAGGTGGGAGACGGAGGAGAGGAAACGAGCTGCAGGAAGGCTCTACAGGTCCCACAGAGGGAGACCTGCCGGAGCTGGAGGTTCACTGGAAGTGCGGGAGGAAGGCCGCCAGTGCCTCTGGGATTCTGGCGGGGATTGGGCAGATGGGCTGCCCACCTCCAAGCCAACATCCAGGACCAGATGCGGCAGGAAGATGCTGAGCTCTCCTGGGAGCCTACCGGGCTGCGGATACCTACGGCTCCAGGAGAGGAGGCTCAGCTACAGACAGGGGCAGAAATGGGGCTGCACGGATCAGCGGGGGCTCCAGTGGGAAGAGCTGGCGAGGAGAGACACTGCCCTCGCCTGGGCCCAGTGCAGACGGGTAGCTGGGCCCTCTGCACCCGCTGCCCGCTGCGCCATGTGTCAGCAATGGAGGCCATCTTGGCCCTGGTTGCCTGGCCCTTAATGGCCCCCACTCCTCAAGCAGCCAGCACTGCTACAACCCTCTGTGCTTGCCCTCCCCGAAGACCCCGGCACTCCATGCTTCTCCCTGACCCCAAATTCTCTTACCCCCTTTCTAAGATTATTCTCATCATTGGTAAGATGGAGATCAGAACACCTCCCTCAAGACTTGAGAAAATTAACTGTGCAAGTGTAGGTAAAAAGTGTGCACAGAAGCCCATAGCTAGTGTCCGACAGGCAAATTTTCTTCACCCTTTTCTAACTTGAAATCCTTTTACTACAAGCACCCAAATGAGTTTTCTTAACCTACATGCTAAATCCTACCCTCACCTGGTTCTTATTCACCCTTTGAGCCTGGTAACTAACTTCACCAACTCTCTAAGGACTGACTCACTCCCCCGCCCGGGGAGCCCTCCCCCAGGGTCCCCATTAGGGCCCCTGCACATCCTGGAGGACCCTTAGTTGTCTGCTGGACTGAGGGGCTTCAGCAATGAGGCTGGCACACGGGCACCTCAGCAATCTCAGCGCTGGCTAAGGTGGAAGGTGCCTAAGAAGGCAGCCCCGACATGCCCAGGGTGAGGGCCTGACCACGAACCTCACCCGGAGGGCATCCTAGGTGCTAGACCTGGACTCAGGTACACTGAGAGGCTGCCCATTGCCAGCCTGGCCTCCTTCCTGAGCCCCAGGCAAGCCACCCTCCTCTCCGTGGTGTGCCCTCCCACCCACACATATGCAGGCACACCCACAGGAACTGTAGGAACTGAACAATCCGAGCAGAGCCCTAGGAAGGGGAAATGGAAATCAGCAGAGGGCAGCCACCCACGCTGAGACCCAAAGCACAGAACGAGAAGGAGCCCGGGGGAGACGCGGACGGCTGGCCATGTGCAGCTTGGGGTCCTGAGGTCCGGACGGAGCAGCACCTCGATGCAGGGCGGGGAAGCACAAGGACAAGGAGGGTGAAAGCGGAGGGAGCAAGCCCCACAGTGCCAGCAGGACCCGCAGCTCAACAGCGAATGCAGGACTCCCTGGTCTCCTGCAGTTCCTGCCACTTCATGTGTCACAGAGTCCCTGGGCCCGCACCTCCGGCTCCCTCTTACCACCTGTACCCCCAACCGCCTGTCAGAACACACGGAGCAGCTGCGCACGCTTGGCTTGTTTCAGCACCTCAGTCATCCACAGGGTGAACCAAGGGTGAGATAAGTCCTGGGAATTTCCAAAGGGTTCCCTGAGCCCAAAGGAGGGGGGCAGTGGCCTCAGTCACTTACCAGGGCAGGCGGGATCTCGGACCGCAGCCTCCCCGTGAACATGTCACTCCAGTGGCACCGCTTTGGAAAGAAGAAGAAGAGTCAGCCGAGACCCTCTGGGTGTCACAGCACCTCTTCACTGGGGCCTCGCCAGTGAGAAGCTAGAGCAGCTCTGACCAGCTTAACCCTAACCTGGAGGCCCCCAGAGGCCATGGGGGCTCAGCAGAAGCATCAGGAAAACATGACCTCTGGTTTTCCAGGAGAGAAATCAGGCTAAGAGGAAGGAGACCGGCCCCGGAGCCCCACGGCAAGGCAGGGGCAGAACCAGGACCAAGACACCGGACTCCGGGCCCAGGGCTCCTCCCCAGGACCAGCTTCCCGCGCGCTGTGGGCCGCAGCGGCACATGATGTGATTTCGGGGGGAAGAGCAACAGGAGACAGGCAGGATCCAGCAGCAAGGGGGCGACGCTTCCCTCAAGTGTCTTCCGACCCTTCTGGCTGCGTCCAGAGGCAGCGGCACTCTGGGGCCCGTGGGTCTTGCCCACCTCTCCCCACCTCCTGCTCATCTGCCCTCTGAACAGAGGAAGAGCAGCCTCGGGCACAGAGCCTTGACGTGGCAATGGTATCAAACTGGAATTTAATGACACTATTTTATTTCCTTTATGGTTAAGGGTTACCACTTTCCATTTACAGAAGAGATGTTTGCTTTTAAATTACTTCAAAGTGGGCTGATGTAAAGAAAATATTAGGCAAATTTTGCAAACACGGTGGCCACACAACCAGGCTGTGTATCACACCGGCCAGCAGAGTTTAGTTTCCAAGCACCCAGGCCTATCCCCAGCTCTGGTTGCTGTGTCTGCCCAAAATATCAGCTCTGGCAGCCCTGGACCAAACCTGGGAATGATGGCACACGGGGAAAGCACTGTTCCCTGAAAATTCAGTCCTTGAAACATATGAATTAAATCCAACCTTAAATACTAGGGAAGCTGGTTTTTATGGACTTTTTGAAGCGTCACATAAAGCAAATCCCTCACACACCTGGGGCCTCAGGGGACGGTCTGCACAGGTCTGCTCAGTGAGATATACCTGGAAGCGGGTGCTAAGGGCCAGGATGGCAGCCACAGCCTGAGCACTAGAGCCCCTTACAACTACCATCTCATTCCGAAGCTTCCCAAACCCAACTCCGATGGACTAAAGGTCAGCATGGGGCTCCAGGGCACAAGGCTTGAGTTCCAGTTCCAACTTAGCTGACCCTAGGCCCACCACTCACCATCTCTGACCCTAGGTATCCTATCTTTGCACTAAGGTCTTTGGCCCCAGGGATCTCCAAGTGAGTGGCACAACAGTTAGAGGTTGGGTTGTTACCTGGGTTCCAATCCCAGCCACTCCTGAGATGTGACCCTGGGCCACGCTTTTCTCATCTTTCAGGACCTCACCTGTGCAGGTGCTAGGACCAGGGAGACACCGTCGTGCATCAGCACCTTGCCCAGAGCACTGCGGGCAGCCAGGCAGCTTCCAGCTATCCCTGCCCCACCCTGGGCTCCTCCCTGAACAGAGGCAACACTGAGACACTGGACTAGGGGGCCCTAGGGTTCTGGGCTGCACAGGATGACAAGATGCACAAAGCGCTCCCGCGGGCCAAGCTTTCTCACGACACAAGCCTGTGTCGTGACCACCAAGGCCACCTCTGAGGGAGATAAAGGAGGCCAGACTCAGAGCCAGAGGCCATGTGATGCAAACACGGCAGTGCTGCTGCTGGGGCTCAAATCCAAGCCCACTGGAGGCCCAAGTCCAGCTTCAGCAGCCTCCAGGCCAGGCCGCCTCTCAGCTCCTGTCCTTCACTGCTCACTGGAGAGGGCTGAGTTCTGTAGGAAAATGCCCCACTTATGCTCAGGGAGAGGACTGGCCCCAGGCAGGAGAGCAGAAACAACCCGCGCTGGGGTTAACCTGACCGTGATCTTCCTAAGGAAGCAAACACCAAGGGCCACTTCATAAGCCAGCTCCAGGTTTGCTCCAAGAGCCGCTCACCGGGCGAATCCACGGCTTCCTCTCTTGGCCCCCAGCCGTGTTCCTTCCCTTCAGAAAGCAGAGCAGTGCCACGGAACAGCACCGGGCTGGCCAGTGTGACCTGTGGCTCGGCCACTCAACTAGGTTCCTGGGCTGCTGATCAGCCCCTCTGAGCCTCAGTCCCGACTTACAAAATGGAGACACGGCCTTTATTACCTGGGTCACTGTGAGGACTAATGACACATGCAGAGGGACCCAGCACAAGCCTGGCCCGGGCGCACTGAGAGAACCACCTTGGTCTCAGCAGCTCCCCTCCCCTCATGCTCCTCAGAGGCCTTAATACGCGCATACATACTGGGACCCGGAAAAGTGGAGCAGCAGTAACATCCTCCTGACATTTTGAACAGGATACCCCACTTTTCTCCAGTGGAAACCACTTTGGGACACAGTAAAACAGAAGAACGTTAGTGTTGGTCAAAGAGGGAACCACTTGGATCTAACCTGTAAGAGAGACTTGCCGTTCAGTAAGGACGCAGTTAGGAGGCCCCGTCCACTCCGCACCTCCCCAGTCCTTCACAGCCTCTGAGCTGCGGCCTGGCCACTTCCGCCTAACAGGAGACGACTCCTCCGGGCAGTGTGCTCTGAGCTCCGGGCTGGGCAGGCTGAGCGCTTGCCAGAACGGCCCCAGTCTGGCGCTCTCGCCGCCCGATGCTATGCCCGTCCCTCCTCACGGATATCAAGGCCTCCATCTCACGCTGAAGGCTCTCCCCATCCAGTTCTGCCTCTTCCCTCTTCACCCTTCACACGTGTTACCCGATAAACCTCTTACACTCCTAACACCAGCTCCGTGTCTGTTACCGGAAAGGACACGTCACGGAGGGAAGGGAGCCAGCCAGTGCTGCGTGCTCCTGGGAAGCCAGAGCAAGAAGAGCTGCTCGTGGGGCCTGAGAGGGTCTGGACATGGGTAGGGGGCTGTGACAGTGCGAGTGGAAGCTTGTCCCCAAACGGTCTGGGCATGCTCACCCTGGAGGCCTTACCTTCAGCTCTGTCTTCTTCTCCAAGGCCTTGGCGATGACCCTGGCTGCTTCCACACCCACCGTGTTGCCCTCCAGACGCAGCGCCTCCAAACCAGCAAAGTCTTCAATCTCTTGAATCACATCTTTGGCTGCCCAGGACCAAAGAACAGAAACTTAGGCTTTTGGAGTCACAGCTGCATCAGCAAGTCCAGGCATTACCCTGTCACTTCGGATCCCAACAGCTATTGTGTACCTACTGTGTGCCAGGCCCTGGCTTACAAAGCAGAGGCCAACAGCCTCACAGTCTAACAGGGGACACTACACAGAATTCCTTTGCACTGAGTGTTGACAGAGGCATGTACAAAAGGCTTGGGAGCCAAGGGAAGAGAGGAACTGGCTGCTTGGGCAAAGGTGCTTGGGGCACCTTGTGGGTGGTGTGTGTGGACGCTCCCAGGACCAGGATACACCACCCATGCAGGGCGACAGCACCCAAGTCAGAGGGCCAGAAGGCACCAGGGCACAAAGGCCTCCAGCGTTCAAAGACTCACGTAGGGGTGTTCACTACTGTACTGTTTTTGGTATGATGAAAACTTCCACACAACCTAAACATCCATCAACAGAGAATAAGTTCATTCACTGGGATACACTATATAGTTACACTAATGTAATTATGAATACTGACACAGGTGTTTACTTGGGAAACATTCATATTATAGCAGTAAGTGTAAAATGAGGCTAACTAGTAGTGTTTGGTTATATGTATTCAGGTTCTATAACACGCATGTATTAATTTTACAATCTGAACAAAAACAAATTACATGAGACAAATCTAGTCTGGCTGGCACAGGATGGAGTGGGGTGATGTGGCAGGGAAGAGGTGAGAAGTGTGTGGGAGATAACAATTAGACTTGACCTTCCAGGTTACAAAGACCACAGAAAGGTTTTCAAGAAGGGCTGTGCCTCGCAACCTGTACAGGGCTCCCTAAGCAGCTGTCTGGGCCGGAGCCTTTGCATGTGCCTTCCTCTCTGCCCTCCACCACAGCAGCACCGCCTCAGAACCCCCTGCAAGCCGCCCAACCAGGCCAAATCCTCACTCCACAGGTTTCAGACCCTGATTTCTCACCTGTGGCCAGCTGCCATCTTACACTCATCTAAATGGTTACTAGATTGTTATACGAAGAATACATCAATACCATCTTCCTCACTGGGTCATCGACTCCGTGAGGAAAGGGTCTCGTGTGGCCTCCGCTTACATCCCCAAGAAATGAGCACAACACTCTCCACACAATTCAATGAATAGCATTTAATAGCAACTGCATGTTTACTGAACTGATCTGAATGTCCAGGAAGCACAGGAACAGGAATTCAGCGCCACCTGTGTTAAAATCTGGGCTCTGCTGGTTATCATCTGTGTGACCTTGGCAAGTTACGCAGGTCTCCCAAGTTCTTTTCCCTCAGTTATAAAATGGGAACATCCCTCCCTCCCTCCCTCCCTCAGGGATGATGCAAGGATCAAATGATGAAAGCACAGGGAAGGACTCGGCAAATCTCAAGGCCCCGTAGAGCTGTGAGCAACGCGCATCACCACGCTGACAGCAAGCCAAGCACTCAGGCCGCCTCCGACGCGGGAGGGGAGCAGGCCTGCCTGCACGCCGTGACAACCAGGCAAGGCTACACCAGTTTCCCTGGTTGGGTCAGAACCTCAAGAGGCCTCACAAGTACTGAGGTGGGTGTCTGCGTTTCCAGACGCCAGAGGGTTCAGGGTTGATCGGTGCCAGCCATACCTTGGCTGGAGATGGAAAGACAGGGTCTACTTTCTGGTTCCTAGTTCTCTCCAGTCCTGGTGTCTGTGCACAGACATGAATGTCCATTCCTCCCCCAGGGGCATTGAGCTGCCTGGACCAGACCCTCCAAGAGAGCCTGGATTGTTGTTTTAATAAAGCTTCATGAGGGCCTCAGCAATTGGGGAGCCAACAGGTATTCCCAGACCAGCTTGGGATCATGAGCATGAAGGTGATGGGGGATCTGAGTAAGACGTCAGGGACTGTATCCTGGGACTGCCATTAACTCTGGTCCCCCCTTGCCTACCATCCCGTCCAGGGGATAAAGGGGACCCTCCCACTGGCCAGCCTGAGCTGTCACTAGCAGGGAGGCCCAACTGAAAACATGAAAACCAACAGGGAAGCCTGGGTGTGCTTGTGGGCAAATCATCTTTGAGTCTCACCTTTAGATGGACCCAATGACATTTCACAGAGCTGCTAGGACAAACAATGTAATAATGCAGTTAAAGGGGCCTAACAGCCAGCAAGAGTGTATTCCCTCCCCTCCTTCCCCAGGCCACAGAAGAACTCACCATCTTCTGCAGTGTTGAGTTTGAGGCTCTTGCCCTTGAAACTCAGCTGTCCCCCGGCCACCTGGGTTTTGGCTAGAGTCTCAGCCAGCTTGGCAATGTCTTCAGAGGCCATGCTGGCCACGTTGGTGGGCTCCCCTGGAAATCCACAAACTGAGGAGGCCAAAGTTTCATTAAGAGAGGGGAGTCTCCCGGGGCCCCTCCTCACCCCCAGGTTGGCGAGAGCAGGGCAGGATATCAGCCATCTCGGGTGGGCGAGTCCACCTCCCCCTGCTGCTATGGAAACCCCAAGAGTAAACCCCTGGGGGAAACAAAAGCCATATTAGGGAAGGAAGAGCTCTAAAAAGGTAGAAGAGGCAGCAAGGAAGGAAAAAAACAAAAACAAAAAAACAGATGTTTTAGCTCCTGAAGAGTTACCACCTCGTTACAAGTCATTCACTGGTGGCACAGGATGTGGGCAATGCACATGGCTTTGCCTGGTGTTCCAGCCGGGGCACTGGGCAGAGCAGGACTTGCAGCCACCAGTGAATGACAGTCAACTCCCAGAGTCTGCAAAGAGTCTGCCCCAAGCACACACGTGCATGATCACCTTGGCTGCTCTCTGCTGGAGTTCCACTCCTCAAAAAGGACAAAGATGGCTACGGGATCCAGGTCATCCACCCCGGGGATGCCCCCACACCCACACTGGCATGACTCGGGGGGTAGGGCACAGGGGTCAGCCCACTGCACGTCTGGTTTCAGCCTTGGCCAGGAGACTTGGCAGCCCATGGCGACCATACCTCACGGGTTCCTAAGAGACCAAAGGTCTCTGCATCACAACAGCTACCATCACAACAGACCAGGGCAGAGCTGATGAAAGGGGGAGATTCCAGCCTGGAGCTCAGCAGACTGGCCAAAGGATCACTCCACTTCCCCAAAGAGGAAACGGCAGGTAATCAGGGGAGACCAAGGAAGACTGACACGGGGGACAGAATTGGGAGGTGCCCACAGAGACTAGTAATCCAGAAGGCCTCCCCAATCTACTCATTTTAGAGATACAACTGTGATGGCTCCCTGATCTTTCCACTTCCCCAGGGTTCCTCTGGGCTCAAACAGCCAGGCCCTCCTTACCTTAACCCTTATCACCCTGGTTCATCTGTCATCTGCATGACTTACCCTTCTAGGTAAGGAGGCGCCCATTCATTCAACAAACATTTACTGAGTCCTACTGTGTGCTGGACATTGTTCCAGGTACCAGGAGGACAGCAGAGAATGAAGCAAAAATCCTGTCCTCTTCAAATACTTGTTCTAAGCAAGATATTTAGTATCTTGTGCAGTAATAAGAAAAAGAAACAGGGAAGAGGCTAAGGTGTTTTTTCGGGGGATGCACTTTAAAGTAGAAAGGTTAGAAGGTATTACTGGGAAAGAAAGGACTGGAAAGATATCAAAGATTGAGCCATGAAGATATCCGGGGGGAAGAGCATTTTCCTGCAAAGGGAACAGCAAATTAAAAGGCTCTCGTGGGAGAAGGGAGGGTTAGAGGAACCACAAGGAGGCCAGAGCAGTTGGAGCAGAGAGAAAGGGAGAAAGGAGGTAAGAGATGAAAAAACAGAATTAACAAGAGACCCAAATCACAAAAGGCCATTTCAAGAACTGAGCTTTTACTCTGCGTGGCAAGGAGAGCCACTGGAGGATTTCTAGCAGAAGAGTCATCTTGTCAAAACACGTCAGATCCAGTCTATCTGCCACTTACAGCCCTGCATTTACAAGGTGCTCCAAGAATGGGGGGGATGGGGGGCAAGTGAATAAAAATGAGCCTGAAATGCCACCATCTCTGGCAGTTCTGGGATGGGACAATTTGAGGCTAGAAAAATAGTGGTGAGGCCTCCAGATGGAACAGGAACAGAGAACTTCTCAGCTAGAGGGCCCAATCCTCAGAGCGGTGCACACTCACCCCACCCACTTTGAGGACTAAAAAACCTAAGCATAGGGAGGTTAAATGTTTGCCCACAGTCTGCAAAGGGTCAGCGACAGAGCGGAGACAAACAGTGCAAGAGCGTGGCAGATTCCCTTGGTGTGCATCCGTCGCTCCTGCGGACCGTCTGTAGTGACACCCCGCCGATGCCGGGGCTGCGGCGCAACCCAGGCCCTCCGCGGGTGTGAGCCCATTGGGAGGCGGCGGCAGGGGAGAGACTGCAGGCCGCTAATGACAGGCTGGCCGCGCGGGAGCCCCATCTGGGATCTCTGGCGGACGCGCACCGCCCCCAGTTGTCAGCGACGCTAACAGGGGGAGCCACTGCTGGCGGCTTCGGACTGGGTGGCCCGGGGAACCAGACTCCCTCTCTAAGCCTCAGTTTCCCGACTGTGAAAGGGCGAGCCCCCAAAACCCTCGCTCCCAACCCCTCCGCGCTTGACCGCAGGAGAGAAGGCCGAGGGATCACGCCGCAGGCGCTCAGGGGCGTCCCTCCTGCCTCGCCCAGTTCCACGGCCGCGCCACCCCGGCCCCCATCGCTGGCAGGTGCCTGGGAAAGGAAAGGAACCCCGACCCTACCGTAAACAGGCGCGCCTCCGCGTGGGGCAACCCGAGAGCGCGCGTCCGCCCGGCGGGGCGGGGGTCAGATTCAGAGTCCGGGTCAGGTCAGGTGGAGGTCGCCGCCTCCGAGTCCTGCGGCCCCGGCGCCCTGCCTGCTCGCCCGTCAGCTCTCCCGACTGCTTGCCGATCGCGTCTCCACCACCACCTGCTCCCTGAACGGCGGCGGATGATGGCGGAGGAGGAGGATTTTGAAAGCCGGCAGTTTCTTTCCTTCGATTTGATTTGTTCCAGCCCAGGCAGGCCTCCCCTTCCCGTGCGCGCGCGGCCCACCGGGTATGGAGTCCGGTTCCCTGGCGAGGGCGCGGCGGGCGCGGCGGGAGCGCGCCCATGAACTACCCGTCCCGTGTTGCACCGCGCCCGGCACCTCCGCCCGCTCCCCTCCGCCCGCCGTTCTCGACTTCTGGCCCTTTTTCGGTCCGACTGCGGGGCGGTGCTTAGACGAGAGCTCCCGCGGAAACTACAATTCCCGGCAGGCTTTGAGGCCCGGCCGCCATGGCGCTTCCGAGAAGGTTTGCATCGCGTAACTTTATTGACAAAGGCTGGTGCTGCGGAACGTAAGCTGCTGGGTCTGATCGCCAAGAAATGGAGCTCCATTTCCTGAAATAAAAGCTTCGCCTTTTTTGTCCCATGATATGGAAAGGACATTCGAAACCTTCTACATAAATAGCCACAAGTTAATTTGATAATTACAGAGGGGAAAAAATAGCCCTATAGTACAGAAACTCGACATCACTAACCAAGCGGTCCACGTTCACATCAACAACGTGACAAACTGACACCCCAATGTGATGCGCAGAGAAGAACACAGCCTCACCATCCGGTCAGCAACGCCTGAAATTTGATGAAGAAATACCAGACCAACCCAAACTGAGGGACATGCTGCAGAATAATTGTTGTGTATTCTTCCCAAAATGCGTCATGAGAGACAAAGAAAAGCAAGGCACTGTTGCAGATTAAAGGACATTTTTAAAAAAAACGACAAATAAATGCAATACATGGTCCTAGATTGGATCCTTGAGTGTGTGTGTGTGGCTGGGGCGGGAGGGAGGTATTATAAAGGGCAACATTGAGACAACTGGCAAAATTTGACTGGATATTCGATATAGTATTTTATCAGGGTTACATTTATTGATTTTATTATTGTACTGGGTTAGGTAAGAGACTACCCTTGTTCTTGGGAAATGTCTCCAACTTACTCTCAAATGGTTAAAAAAAATGCATATATACGTATACAGAAAAGACCGTGCAAATGTGGCAAAATGTTAATAAGGTGAATCTAGGTGAAGGATAATGGAAGCTTTTTGAACATTTTTGCCACTTTTCTGTAGGTTTGAGTTTTTTTAACTTTCAGAACACAAATAGCTTTTCTTATTTTCATTTCACAAATAACTTTTTCACCATTATGTAAACATGAGTTCATTATAAAGACTTCTACCAACATGAAACAGGATAAGGAGGAAAGTAAACATTACCCGAGAGAATCTAGTGCCCAGAGATAATCACTATCAACATGTGCAGCCACCGTCTCCAAAGTTACCTCTCACAACTCTGCCCGCACACGCTTGGCTTTACCTGCATTTCAATGTTAAACATAAGATGTGCCAGATCCTTTCATACACGGCTACTTTAATCTTTACAACCACAAAGGAAGTGGGCGTCATTGCCACCCTTCCCAGCAGAGAGATGAGAAGACAGATGCTGTCATCCCCCAGTCACACAGCTATGAGGTGTGGGTCTGCTTTCCATCCTCCCACTGCTTCTTCTCCTACAAGGCCCATATCAAGTGCCACTTCCTGCAGGTTTTCCTACTCCATTCCAGCCAGAGTGAGTTACCATCCCCTGAGCCCCCACAAGCAGCTGGAAGCCCCCGCAGTAGTCCGTCTGCAGCTCCGAGGGCTTTTCACAGTCCAGATAACAGTATTCTTAGCAGCTTCCTCCTCAACCTGCGAGGGCCTCAGGGGCAGGTACTGTGCCCATCTTGGCAGCACCCTCTGTGGCCTGGGCTGTCATAGACGTTTCAGCTTTCCTCATTTGAATTGCATTCCAGTCAAGGTCACTGGATGTCTGCTTAAAACGAATCGTCATCTGAGAAGGCTTAAGATACTTCCGGTTAGGCCTGATGCTTTCCCTCTCTCTGGTAGGCCTAATCAAATTAGTCTGAATTTTTCTTGGGGTGATCCCCAGCTTTTCTTTTCCAGTTTTACCTCCTGAGACTTTCCTTGGCCTGCCAATAGAGGCCTCCCAAAGGGAAGAGGAAGGTAGAACATCTTAGGCAACAATCTTCCCCTTCCTCATCCAGCCAAGGGATCATAGGGTTTTCTGAACTGGAAGGAAGTTCTTAGCAGAAACTCAGCGGCTCTCAAGAGCCAGGGAGGCAACAGGAGCTAACAGGGGCTCAAGGAGGCTCATGAAGAACATTCAAAGCTGAAAAATCACAAATCAGCTGGACATCACTCCTTAGCAATCTGGATTCAGTTTCTTACTCCTAAAGTCTATCTCAAACCCTTTTAAAGTGGGGAGACTGGGGTTTAAAAAGGAGAAGAGGATTTGCCCAAGGGTGCACAGGGAATCAGAGGAGTCCAGAACCATCTGTTTCCAAGCAATGCATTTTGCCATCTCTCTCTCTCTCCTTCCCTTTGACCAACTCTCCCTTTCAAGTTGTCACCTGAGAGCTAGTTTGTTTGTTTGACCCAGGAAACAGAATTATAGCCTTTGACAGATGGACAGAGTCAACTTAGGCCACCCCTTTCCTTTTTCCAACAGATTTAGAATTGGGGCTCAGAGAGGTCAAATAACCTGCCCAAGTTACACAGTAATTTAGGCAAGAGATAGTAGAAGCTGGATCTCTGGGGTCCTTTTCAACATACATGCGAAACAAGTCACTTTGTGAGTGTGAGGTGGGAATAAGGGGAAGGGAAATGTTCCACACTTTTCTCTCTTTTTTGTGCAGTTGTGTGTGTGTGTGTGTGTGTGTGTGTGTGTGTGTGTGTGTGTGTGTGTTTAAGGAGAGGATGTTTTGAAAAGAAAAGCAGGCTGCCTCTGATTAGTTCAGTTTACTTAAACCGAGTGTTTTAAATTCCATTCTGGTGCCTGAAAACAAACTTAATTGCCAATTGAAAATGGAATAAATAACAATATTTATGCTTGTTTCCTGAAGAGCTACCAAGGCTGCAAACTTGCCAGTTGGTCAGATCAAAAACAAATGCCTCAAGTATGCCAGATTTGTGAGGAATGTGGAGAGAAATTCCGAAGTTCCAGCTAGGTGCTTGTCTTGGGTTTTAGAGAAAGATGGGTGGGCCTGGCCTTCCCGCATTGCAGGGGAGCCTGTCCCCTACCCGAAGGGTTCACCTCCCATAGTAGGAAGGTCTGCTGCATCATCCGTTAAAGACAATTCAAACCACATTCCCTCCTGGGTTCAAGCACAGGGCTCCCCATGAGAACACACACTGTTTTTATCAACCTTGATAAATCTCCATAATTAAAGTAACTCATTCACCCCAAAAATAGTTATTGAGTATCTACTAGGTACCAGCCCCTGTTCCAGCACCTGAGAATCCAGTGATGAATGAGATAGAAGAGGATAGTATCTGTGAAGGACCTGGAGGACCTCAAATTGAGAACTCTTGATGGAGGGGTTCCTGATAGCAAATGCTTTTGGTAGATTATTTTCTCTCTTAATAATTCCTTTGTTCCAAAATGGAAATAATTTAAGTATTTTCATTGAAAACTGACAGCAATTTTTCAAAGTATAAATGCAAAAGAGCACATGAAGAAGAAAGTTACACAACATGGATGGATCTAGAGGGTATTATGCTCAGTGAAATAAGCCAGGCGGAGAAAGACAAATACCATATGATCTCACTTACTTGTGGAATCTAAAAACAAAGCGAAACAGAAGAAACAAAACAGCAGTAGACTCACAGACACTGAGAAGTGACTAGTGATTCCCAAGGGGCAGGGGTTGGGATAGGTACAGGGAGGGAGGGGAGGGGGATAAAGGGGCACGATTCACAGTTTACAGTATAAGTTGATCATGGGGACTGCTGCACCACTGGGATGAAACCAACATAAGATTGTATATTAAGGCCACTTTAATTAATTAATTAAGAAAGAAAGTTACACATTACTTGTTTAATATTTAACAAATGTGTAGATTGATGGGTTGGGGGGATGGATAGAAGGATGGATACATGATAAAGCAAATATAGCAAATGTGAACAACTGGGGTATGTGAGTATTCACAGTACAGTTTCAACTTTATGCTTAAACATTTTCTTAATAACACAAGGGGACGAATGTGACCATATTTTACCCTGCCTTTCACCTACTGTATGGTAGTCTGGGGCCTAGCCTAGCTCAGCCTCTAGGCCCGTGGCTTCTCCCCCTCTCTCTTTATAAGTTATTCTCTCCTTTGAGAATCTGAATTCTATGGGTTGTTTCCCAGAAGAATGTATGTTTAATATATTTTTTAGTTAATTACAAATTTCCAAGGCTTTGCATCCAGGAATTAACTTAATCCTCATAGTGCCTTTATGGGTAAAGTACTCTTATTATCCCCAACCTAAGCTTCGAGTTTCATGTCCACCTACAGGGTCCTTCCCCAAACCCCAAGTTAAGATCCCTTGCTGGATGGCTGGCACCTGCCTGTGACTGTGCTGGAGCTGTGGCAACATGGTATTTCTGTGAAGTCTCAGGACCCAGCATGGCTGCAGCAAGGGTTGACATGCCCGTAGGCTCTAAGAGTTAACAAGGCACCTCTGGGGGCCAGGACATGGCAGGCCTAAGCCTGTCCAGGAGGCACTTATGGGAGAAGGGACAACTGAATGTTGTACCTGTCAGCTCCTCAAAGCTCAGAGAGCATGAGTGTCTGACTCCCATCCTCCATGGCTCTAAGAGTTAACAAGGCACCTCTGGGGGCCAGGACATGGCAGGCCTAAGCCTGTCCAGGAGGCACTTATGGGAGAAGGGACAACTGAATGTTGTACCTGTCAGCTCCTCAAAGCTCAGAGAGCATGAGTGTCTGACTCCCATCCTCCATCTACCCACTCACATGACAGGTCCGTGGTGTTATCAGCAGTGCATCCAGATTTAAGAAGGCCATGTCACATGCAGTAGTTGAGCTTTACAGGTGGACAGGCCTGGGACTGATTTCTGCCTCTGTCTTTTTCTTATCTGTGCGATAGCAACCAAATCAAATAACTGCTTTGGGTCTGTTTTTTTGCCAAACACAGGTAAAAATCTCTACCTTACAGAGCTTTGCGGGGATAAGAGAATCAACATCCACAAAGTGCTTGGCTCGTAGTAAGTGATGGCTGTTACTTACTGCTATTTTGACTTTAATGTGGGGACATAGAACACTGCTGCCCAGCAACACTGGGGCTTCCCAGAAAACAACCTGCTGGTGCCAGTCCTGAGGTCTTTCTTTGCAAAGTACCGCCACCTCCAATTGGGTTTGTAAAGGCCTATTTACCAACTTGATAGCTTGGACAGTTTAACCAGTTGATGCCAAGTTGAGGGTGAGTTGCTGGTGTTCAGCTGAATACCCCTTAAATGATGGAAATTCCGTTTTTAAGGATATGGGTTATTCCACTAGCAGCCTGGGATGGTGAAATCAGGACATCATTTACCGGTTAGTTCATCTGAGGCAACATGCAGTGGTCTAACTGGCCTCAGCATCCTCATCCACAAAATGGGAGTGATAATAACAGTGGAGCCTAATCTGATAAACTGTCAGGAGTGTTTCACTGTAAACTGTACAGGAGATGTGGGAATAACATTTATTCATCCCCTACCATGGGCCAGGCAGTGCACTACATGCTTTACAGATATCAATTAATTATAATCCTTGAGACAAATTTTATGTTGATTAAGTGTTCTTATCCTTACTTCACAAATGAGGAAAAGGACTCAGAGATTGCCTGGGTCACACAGCCAGCAAACCGCCTTGGTCTTCCCAGCGCCATGGCAGCTGACATCTCTATCATAGCACCCAGCCTCCCTAAATCACCAGGCTTGGCCTGCAGCTGCCTTTAACTCTTGACCTTGGGGTCTATCCCAGGTGACCCACGGATTAATTTCCCACTAAACATCAGAATCTCCAAGTGGTGTTTGTCAGAAATCCGGAGTTAAAATCTTGGGGAGAGGGTCTTCAATGCAAACAAGCCTCCCTCTGCAGTGAGTCTGGGGCCACTGGA